ATAAATTATTCTGAATTGCCCAGCTTTATCCCTAAGTAAACAGAAATTACAGTCTTAGCTTCTGATGCAGTATTTGGAAGAGGGACTAAAGGAGTGACATGATATTCTGCCACACACCGACTAGTCCTCCTCAAATTCAGTAGCTCAGTTTGTGGGATAAGCAGGAATATTACAATGGTGTTAGCATAGAAAGGATACTCTTTTCTGATCTACATGGCCTAGAACTGAGTATTAGATTGCCATCAATTACAACATACAGGTTGGAGTCCCAGCACAAATGTACCAATTTCTCCTCACTCCAATGGAGCAAACTAACCATTTTATTCAGAATAAATACCTGAGCTCGAAGAGACTTATTTTGTCCTAAACAGATAAAGCCAAAGCTGACAGACATCCTATGGCACAATATAAGACTTGTTACTTAAAGGTTCTCTACACTGTAGCACTATCCCCTAACAGAGCTCAGTGTCTGATATGGGTATGCTCTGTGACCCCACCCAGATCTCATCGTGAATTCTACTCCCATAATTTGCATGTGCTATGGGAGGGACCTATTGGGAGATCATTTGAATCATGGGGGTGGCTCCCCCCATAACGTTCTCGTGGTAGTGAATAAGTCTCATGAGATCTGATGGTTTTATTAGGTGTTTCTGCTTCTGCATCTTCCTCATTTTCTCTTGCCACCCCACATAAGAAGTGCCTTTTACCTCCCACTATGATTCTGAGGCCTCTCCAGCCAAGTGGAGCTGTAAATCCAATTAAACCTGTTTTTCTTCCCAGTCTTGGGTATGTCTTTATCAACAGCATGAAAACAAACTAATACTACGCCACTGGCCTCTAAGCAAAAGACAAGTGTCCGCAATTCTGGGAACTTTCAGAGAGAGGCAGTATTGGTATTCAGTAATATATGCCTCTCCCTTTCCCCAGCATCTAAACTAATCTAAGGAGTCTGATTAATAACAGGAACAGGCATTTAGAAATCTGGATGTCAATTATCAGTATACAAACAGAGAGAGCTGTGACAGGTCCCAAAAGAAGCTCAGGTAATGATTTTATGAATGCTACCCAACTAGGTAGAGTCTACACTCAAATGCAGATAACAACCTGTCTCATTTCTACATCATTCCCATTTACAGTTGCAAAAACTGAGACCAGATGTAGTTAAGCAACTTCTCCAAACTGTTACACATTCCTGTGTCACCACCTCCCTTTACTATCAGACTATTTATCAATACTCAAAGACAATCAGTCACAATACCTATCACATTCTGTTAGAACTGTGAATCTGTTACTAAGTTATAACCTATTCATGCGCAACACATTTTTGTTAAAAAAAAATGAAAAGGTATTTCTCACTAGCTTACACACTTCTCAGCTCTCTGCATTAGTATTTTCATTCATTAGTTCAACAAATGTATATTAAGCATTAAATATCTACTATGTAGCAGGCACACTGCTCGCAACCTGGGACACAAGAAGTTAATGTCAATTAGACTCTCATGGAATGTATGCACAGGAGATGGACTAGTTCTGGGAGGAAATGTAAACTGCTATGGGGTAGATGGGTGAATGATGAAATCTAGTCTTAAGAGTCCAGTAGCGATTACTGGAGTTGAAAAATGATAGATGGGGAATTTGCAAGCTTGGGGGAGGGGCAAAGGGAAGGGTAAAAAACGAGAGTACAGTACGGATAAAGGTCTCAAGCAGGGTGAAAAAAGTGGGAATTCTATGGTTGGTCAGTGTTCTATGTTCTAGGCCACAGATGACAGGGCAAAGAAATGAGCTTCTTCAATAGGAGTAATTCCGAATTCAATAAACAGAAAACAGTAAACTTTAAAATGGGGAATAACTGTCTTTCTAGTTCCTCATGAGGCTCTCAGCTGTGAAAAAATAATCTGGTACAGTGATTCTCTAGTCTGACTTCATATCAGAATCTTCTGAGCATTAAACAAGTCTGATGCCCATGGTTGATCCCAGAACAAATTACTTAAAATCTCTGAATATATGGCCTAAGCACAGGTCTTATGAAAATGTTCTCCAGGTCCTCAACTCCAGTCAAAACTGACGACTGCAGCAACTAAAAGGCTAGGCAGTGCTACACTAGCTGTTTCCTCAGTGCCTTTCTGCAATGACCCTAAAACTTCCCATTGGCTGACTCTGTGACATTCAAATCTTAGCCTAAACATTAGTCCTCAGAGAGGACCCTAAGTAGCCACACTCAGTTAATTAATGTCTACACAGCACTCATCCCTGACATCTGTCTTCCTGATTACTGTTAGCTTCTCCACTAGAATGGAAGTTCCAAGAGACCAGGGATCTTGCCTGTATTGTTCACGGCTGTTATTTCCAGTAGGATCTGAATAAGTATTTCCTGGATGAAGGAAGAAAGCAAACCAGAAGGCAAGCAGGCATGGGGGTACCTCTCATATAAATGGATTTAAACAAATAATATTTTGAAGCTATAATTCTTATGGATTTTGACTGGATATAATTAAGGTAGACTGAAAAGCACATACGGCATTTTTTAAATCTTTTTTTTTTTTTTTTTTTTTTTTGAGACGGAGTCTCGCTCTGTCGCCCAGGCTGGAGTGCAGTGGCCGGATCTCAGCTCACAGCAAGCTCCGCCTCCCGGGTTCACGCCATTCTCCTGCCTCAGCCTCCCGAGTAACTGGGACTACAGGCGCCCGCCACCTCGCCCGGCTAGTTTTTTGTATTTTTTAGTAGAGACGGGGTTTCACTGTGTTAGCCAGGATGGTCTCGGTCTCCTGACCTCGTGATACACCCGTCTCGGCCTCCCAAAGTGCTGGGATTACAGGCTTGAGCCACCGCGCCCGGCCTTAAATCTTTAACTTAAAACTATACACAGGCTGGCCTGAATTTCCAAGCAGAGCTCTACCTAGGAAGGAGACTAAAGAATCTAAAATATTTAGTCTGAACTAGAGTCAACAAAGCTGTGAGCAAAACGTCTTCATGAAGAGGAAAAGGATGATGAAACTATATTCAGCATTTCCACAAACAAAAAGAAAAAAGAAAAAAAAGACCTAGGTTAAAATATAGGGCCAATTAGAATTTAGCTTAGGCATAATTAAAAACTTTCAAGAGAAATGCTGTGAGACTAGAACGGTCATCAAAGACGAGATATAAAAGTGAAATCTGTGCCAGTCCCTAAGTCTAGTATGAAAATACTTCATTTGAATGGGTCATGTACTACGTAAAGGAAGATTAATATAAGGACAGCCAGAGTTTTCTTTCAGTCTTATAAATGCATTAAAATATCTTGAGTACTAGAGTTTTCTGCTCTGAACTAATTTAGATCTAGTACCAGATGAAAATGAGCCAGAAGGATAAAACACTAGTAAAAACATAAGCAAATCATTATTTTTAGGCAAAACGGAAATATGCTCATACTTTTCCTTCTGTACAGAACATATGTTAAGGCCCATCAAGTGAATTAGTAATTCAGGCATAAAAGAAGTTTTTGAGGATAACCAAATTCAGGGGTTATCTCCCTACAATGTACACTTAAATATAAGCTCAAAAGAAAACCTCCAAATGCCAGGACACCTTGATCAGCTTACCTGGACTGCCAATGTAAAACCAGCAAGGCCCTGCATTTTCACCTGTCTCTCAAAGCCAGTCCTACTTTCAGAATCCATAATTTCTGATAATGGAACCATCTCCCCACTCAGTACTTAATCTCAAAGATTTAGAATGATAATCATCTCCAAATTTAGTTAATCACCAAGTCCTGTGAATTATTCCTTTGTAAGAAAGAAAAAAGGTAGGTGGGGGGAGGGAATATTTATTGATTTAAAGAGATTTAAAAGACACATCACAAATATAATATATGAACCTTACTCAGTCCTAAGTCAAACAAATTGACTGTAAAAAAGATTATGAGACAATAAAGTAAACAGGAAATATGAATACTGATCAGGTGATATTTGGAAACGCTGTTAATACTTTCTAGGTATATGATGAGATCATGATTACATTTTCAAAATGCCCTTATCTTTTAGAAATACAGACTACAATATTGGCAGATTGATACTTTTGATTTGCTCCAAAATAATTCAAGAGAGGGTGGAGGTGGGAATGGAGTGAAGGAACAGATGAAACAAATGCATGAAAATTACTAAAGCTGGGTAATGGGTACACAGGGGTTCAATTATGCTTTTTTATTTAATTTGGCTTGTTTTAAAACCCCCATTAAGTCATATTTCTATGTGTGGACATATGTACATTTTCTGATTTACGCTGCTCTGCTCTGCAACTGTTGATGACTCCCAGGTGCCTAAGTACCTTAGCCCGGCCTTCAGGGTCCTGCACAGTCCTTCAGTTACCCTTTCCTCTACAAATACATCATCAGCACTTGCCCTTCTGAATCCTTTCTTTTACTGCTTCTTCTCCTTGAAATGTGCTTCTCCATCCTACCTACTCTTTTCTTGAGCTACTCCTTCCTTTCCTCTTCCACATCTTGTGTAGTAAAAAACCATGTCCTCCTAGGCCACTGACCAGACCACTGTATGCCCTGGTTTTAAGTAAAATGCCCCTAATCTTCCCCTAGCTCACAAGTTTTAAGTAGAAGATCCATGCATCTTCAGAGCTGAAAGCCTCACTCTAAGTAAAGCAGACGTGTTTAGTTACTGCAGTCACGGTGGGTCTGCTCCTCTGCATTGGTCTTCACTCTGCAGTTTTTACAGTGGGCCACTCATATTTTGGAGACATCAAAGAGTTTCATTAACGAGAGTCATAAAACGTTTTTTAAAAGGGAAATTCTGAAATATACTTAAATCTCACAATAATGCGATGGATTACAAGAGCAGGAGAGGCTGTGGTTCTCATTACAGAAAGCTTAATTTCTGAGGCAGCAAAGAGATTTCCTTATTAACCCATTCGTCCTTCCTTCAAAGCTTCAAATCCAGTGCCCTGAGATAAAAATTTTATTAGAGATTCATTTTTCTATAATAAAAACACACATATGTGAAAATCAACTTTACCTTATATTTCATCTTGGGACACGAATGAATGTAGAAACCCATATAATAATAGCTGAGTTGAGAAGTTTTCTCATGAAGCTGCCTAGTAAAAGCAATTTCTCTGCCAAAAGAAAAAGAAGAAAGCTGAAGGCAGTTAATTCTGGTTCCGATGTTCAAATATCTATGTAATTTGATGGTAAACATTTGATAAAATCTGATATTAAGCTATCAAAAAATTACAAATATTTAAAGAAAAACTTTTAAAACATACACTATACAGTAATTTTTACTAAAGAAATAATAAACCCCTCTACATAATTTTAGGCAAATGCATCTAAGTTCAGGTTTTACACTTTATTGGACAAAGTACCTGATCTAAAATTCAAATAGCATAAAATTAAAGAGACCTACAGTGATCTGTTATTGTTCATCATGCCCTACGGCTCTCAAAGAATCTGGGCTTAACAGGTTAAAAACAGTAGAGCAAATTTTAGAAAACGCAAAAGCCAATAAATTTCAGGAAGAATAACTATTATTATGACCATTTACATGCAAACACTTTCAGCTGCATATGACACCTAACTCATTCCTTTATCTAGGTACAACTTTAATATTTATTTCCCCTAAAACTAGAGAGCAGGAAGGAAATACCATGTTATCTCACCACATTTTCTGTATTTGCTGGAATAAGCCAAGTAACTCGAACATAAGAAGTTGTCAGTCTCTCCACTGTAACACCTATGCATGAAGTGGTTTTCATGTGTATCCTGATAAATCTTGGCACAGAATTTCATTCTACTTGCCCAGCTAAACGACTGGTTTGTAAGTGCTTAGTAAAACTTCAGTATATTTCTAAAGTATGAGGAAAGTAGTTTTGTTTTTATGTTTGTTTCTTAAGGTATTCTTTTCTTTATTAGTAGCAATTGATGCTTGACATTCTAAAGAAATGTATTTGTAATGCAGTATTCTGTGCATTTTTCTACTTCAAATTTAAATCCTTGAAGAATTATTACCTTAATAATTCATTTTTAAATTAAAAGTATTTCTAAATCCAACCAGACTAAACATTATTAGCCTATAACAGAATAAATCCTATTTCCAGAATTAATCCACTCTCAAGGTTCAAACTGAGGAAAGAATGCAATGACACAAGCAAGTGTAAGACCACCAATTCCGAGAAGGCCCACCCAGTCATGGTACCAATCCACTTGGTCCTGCCCACCTTAGTTCATTTCATCACGTCTCCCCAGATTTGTTCAGGCCCCAAACCTTGGAGTCATCCTTAATCCTTTTCTTCTCATCCCCGTGTCCAATCCATCAGCAGGTCTTTTGGGCTTTCTCTCTAAAATATGTCTTGAATCTGACCACTTCTTACCACCTCCGCCTCAGATATTCTGGTCCAAGCAACATCATGGTGCCCCTGGATGACTGCAGCAGCCTCCCAGCCGGCTCCTGTTTCCACTCTTCCCCCTCCATAATCTCCACAGAACAGGTCAAGTAATCTTTTACAATATTAATCAGATCTCCCAATCTCCCACCCCAGCAGTGGGTTGGCACCACATATAACTAAAACCCAACCTCCCCACCCTGTCCTACAAGCGCCACTCCAGCTGAATCCTTCTCACCAACTCCACCTGCCTCTCTGCCCCTTGCATAAGGCTCTCTACGTCCTTCCCTACACCCGAGCCCAAAAGACTTTTTTGTTTTGCCTGGCCACCTCGGGGCACTTAGATTTGCTACCCTTCACCTGAGCTTCTTCCTAGCCTCAGATTTTTACATGACTGGTTCCTTTTCTTCTTCCTTTGCCCCTGAAATGTCACCTGTTCTCTATGAGGAAAGACTAATCTATATAAAACAGGCTTCATGCCCACCACCACTAATTTTATTTTTGTCACAGTGCTAGGGAGTATCTGAAATTAAGTTGTCTGTTTTATTATTTATGGTCTGTTTGGACAAACTAGAAACCTGTCTTATTCATGTCTATGAGTGTAATTACATTTTTAAAATGTATCTTTCTAAAAACACAAAAACAGATGCCATGCTCATGATCCCCAATTCAAACAATTCTTGTATCTACAGGCTATGGATAAGCAGAGGCTGATTACAAAAATAAATTAAATAAATAAAAAAATAAAAATCTACAGGCTACATTACATAACTCTATAAACATAAAACTATATTGATTGTTCGATTGCTTAAGAAACTTAAGAAATTGAGGGGAACAGATTTCACCAAAATACATTAAAATCAATAATGGGATTAGCAACTGATAACCTACTTTCTCCAATTTTGCTTCAAGAGGTCAATCCCCCGGCTGCCTTCCCTTTTCTATAAACTCTGCAACTCATATTCTCGAGAGCACCAAAAGGAAGTGACAAGACTGCAGAGCAGCCGCAGCCATCCAGCCCTCAACTGGCAAACCTTTCATGACCTCAGGCTCCTCTCCTGCTCCCTCCTGGCTCTCCAGCTCTAGTATTTGCAGGGATATACTAGGCAGTCAATAGAACTCTTGCTAATTTTGCTGGGAATTAATTATTTACCATCTCAATATCTAAACCATCTCTCAGTTTATTGAGCCACGAAATATTTCAGAAATAGGCCAGAGATTATTATGTAGAAATAAATCTCACCCTTAAAAATTCATCTGAGAAGCCTAGAAAAATCTATAACACATTGTAAAGTGATAATACAAAAATAAAACCAAACAAAACAAAAAGCAATTATTTGAAAGTACTGACTGATTTGGGTATAAAGAAAATATATCTTTTCTGAAATAAAACCTCTGAAGTTATATAATAATTGTAAAATCTATAGTTATAAAACACAAATATTTTAAATTATCAATTTCAATTTCAGTGAGAGCACCAACAGCCATAAATATTTTTAAACTACTTTATACAAAAATGTGATTAAATACATAAGAATAAAAGACTGTTACAGAGATCCATTGTAAATATTATGTAATTGTGGATTTGTTAAAAATTGGCATTAAGAAAAAAGTCAAGTTGAAAATGCTAAGATGAAGAACTTTATATTGTGGGTCACTGAAACAGACACAAAAAAATCACTTATGGACCAGATTTTTAAAAACATTAAATTGCTGATTTAATGAAAAATTTCAACTCTTTTATAATTCATAAAAAAGTACATACACAAAAAATAATCTGGCAGTACATTTTACTATGACGTGAAAAATGTGACCATCAGACATGAAGACTGAGAGATGAGAAAAGTATGACACAACAGTAAAAAGTGAGAAAGAGAGAGACTCAAGCTCCCAGATAAACAAAAGAAAAATAGTTCCCAACCCTCCTTCCCTCCTCCACCACATATACACATAGACAAACAGAAATAAATAGAGAAAACTGGAGGAAGACTCCAGTCTTCTCACCATTAAAAATGTGTTGTGCTGTATATACATGTTTGCAGCCATGGACACAAAAGGGAAATTATCTTTTGATGAGGGTCATAAATTCAACCAGTCAGCCAGGGATTCCCCAGGCCTGTTCTGTATACATGTATATTTCTTCCAGTAGACTCATATTACTTTGATTCATTTACACCATATTAACTTAACTTTTAATTAACAGTAAAAAAATATAAAGCTGAATGCAGTAGTACAAGCCTGTAATTCCAGGTACCTGAAAGGCTGAGGAAGGAGGATCATTTGAGCCCAGGAGTTCGAGAGCAACCCAGACAACAAAGCAAGACCCCATCTCATTTGAAAAGGAAAAAGGAAGTAGAAGATAGTGATGACAAGGATATAAGTCATATAACATTTAAGGAATATAAGTAGTTCCGACAGGGGGGCTTAAATAAATGTATAAACAACAAAAGCTACCCACAAACACAATGACTTCTTAACTAGATGGATACCTTAAAAAGCTAGAGAATTACCATCAGACACTGGCATCAGTTCTAAAGGTAGTATCTTCCAAATACAATACAAAACTACCAGAGATTATAGATACTAGTTATATATAATATTTACTTATATATTACATAATTATATACTTATATAATATGTATGTTTCCTATAAATACAACTAAATGACATTTATTTTAAAATTCAATGTGATTTTAAATGTTGTTCTTAAATGAAAATTACAAATTATATATAACTATATATTATATAGTAGTATTTAACTCTTATATAGAATGCCTATTACATAGTAGTATGTATTCTATATAAGAGACTAGCAACAAATCATTATAATACATTGTCAAATAGGACTTCTACTGTTACATAATTAAATATAATCAAATGAGTAATTATTTGAAGTTCTATATAACCCACTACAATAATGGCAAAAACCAATCTTACCGTAGTGCAGAGTAGACACCCAAAGACAAAAACGAATAATCAGGATCGTAGTACAAATACACAGATGACACACAGTTCGGGAGGATGTCAATCACCCCCACAGCAATGATCTTTCCATCAAGCCAGTACTGCTGGTGAAAGGAGCCATAGCCACAATCTGGCCCATTAGGGGGAGTCTCTGCCTAAGAAAAAGCAGAGGCATGAACGCAAACAGTTTGCCATTTTTAAAATATCAAAATAATCTTATAATTAATATATAATATACTTTCATTTTCCTCAGGTTAGTAAGTCCTAAACTTTCCTCTGTTTCCTTCATCATCCCTACTCACACCCTATATTAACATGCAAAACTTTTATCATAGAAATACTGAGGAAATACAAAATTCAAAAAGAGAAATCAATTTATGTTTTCTTCAGTTTACTTGTTTTAATACTTGACAGTAGGAAATAAACTACGTTCTTCCATTTCTAGACTACTCAGCCATAAAAAGGAACAAAATAATGGCATTCGCAGCAACCTGGATAGAGTTGACGACCATTATTCTAAGTGAAGTGACCCAGGAATGGACCACCAAACATTGTATGTTCTCACTTACAAGAGGGAGCTAACTTATGAGGACACAAAAATGTAAGAACGACACAATGGACTTTGGGGACTTAAGAGGGAAGGGCAGGAGGGGGGTGAGGGACAAAACACTACATATTGGGTACAGGGTATACTGCTTGGGTGATGGGTGCACTCAAGTCTCAGAAATCACCACTGAAGAACTTATCCAAACACCACCTGTTCCCCAGAAACCTACTGAAATAAAATAAAAACATAAAAACTATGTTCTTCTATTTCATACAAAAGTTAGGAAAGAAATGCATGAGAAAAATATGAGGAACATAAAAGAAAAGGGTGGGGTGAGATACTGCCAGTCAAGCCTGTTCTGTGAGTGCTCCAGCTCTGAGAAGGTACACAATTCCATTATATCTTCTAGGTGAGAGTTCTTGGGTAAGTAAAAGGGACTATGATACTTCTCCTTACTAGTCAAAGGAAAAAAAAAGTTATTCTTCATTGTTATCTTAATTCAACTATAACTTCACAGGAAAAATCTAGAGATTTCAGAGTATAACCATCTTCCTGTAAATATAGCTAGTTAAATGACATGTCTCATTTTAAAATTCAACATTTTAAATATAACTGGTCTTAAATGAAAACCATGTAAAGAACAGTATCAAGTAGCATAAAACAGGCTTTCCTGGAGACTGAGTGGATGTTAGACATTACTAATTCAAGTGAACAAATACACTACTACTTGTGCATCATTTTCACACAGCTAAAATCAGAGAATGTATAGGAATAAAAGCTAGAAGAGAATAAAGAAAAATGAGAACAGGTTGAATAACACCAAAACCAAGCAAAAAAATCAAGAAAATAAATCTACAAATCAATCTCCCATGAACACAGATGCAAAAATCCCCAACAAAATATTAGCAAATCAAATGCAACAATACATAGAAAGAATTATACCATGAACAAAAGAGAAATTTATTCGAGGTATGCAAGGCTGGCTTGACGTTAGAAAAGCAGTTTTTTAAAAAGCAATTAATGAACAATTAATGTAATTCATCACATCAATAGGCCAAAAGAAGAAGTATCATATGATCATATCAATTGATGCAACAAACATTACTGGCAAAACCCAACACCTGTTCATGACTAAGCACTCTTAACAAACTAGGAACAGAAGAAAGTGTTTTCAATTGGTTAAATAATATATATCCCAAAACCCACAGCTAACAGCAAACTTACTAGTAAGAAAGAAAAAGGTAAGGATATCCTCTCTCATCACTCTTAGTTGACATCATATTGGAAAACTTAGCTTGTGCAATAAGAAAAGGAAATAAAAGGTGTATAGACTGGGAAGGAGGAAAAGCCTATCTTTCTTTATAGATAATGTGACTGAGGTAGGTTAAAATAAACAAACAAAGATCAGTAACAATAAAAAACCAAAATAAGCAATTATAGCAAGATCCCAGAATACAAGGGTAATATACAAAAAGCAGTTGCTTTTCTATATACCAACAATGACTGGAATCTGAAATTAAGAATACAGTACCATTTACAATACAACAAAAAATGAACCGCTTAGTTATAAATCAAACAAAATATATACAGAAAACTACAAAACTCTGACAAAAGAAATCAAAGATCTAAAAAACCAGAAAAACATTATGTGTGCATGGATTAGAAGACAATATTGTCATGACCTCAGTTTTTCCTAAGTTGATATATACATTTAATGCAATCACAATCAAAATCTCAGCAAGCTATTTTGCAGCTACCAAAAAATAGAACATAAGTATAATCTCAATAAGCACATTATTAAATAACCAATGCACTCTGTTAACCCTAAATATAAATCAGTCTTACTTATTGTACCAGCTTGAAATACTTGTTCAACCTGCAGTTTACTTTCTCAGTTTCTGATTCTCACCATGTTTCTCACCCCCGGACCTCCCATCTGAAAACCTGTTTCAGTTACTTCACAGGTTGGTTCTCCTCTGAGTCCAGTCATAACCAATTCGTCCTATCACAGACATTACTCCCATCTCTCAATTCCGGTGGAAGCTGGGGTCTTCCCCAACTGCAGAGCACTTCCTGTAAGATATGGGCTGCCTCATAATTACTTAGGAAACAACAAGCTATATACCTATCTACTCCGCCTCCCATCACTTCACAGATGATCCAAGGAAGGCAAGTCAGAGGCCATTTTCCTAAAAGTATAACTGGTCGACTCAGCACTCTTGGTTAATAATTATCTGCGCTTCTCAATTTCACTAGTAAGCCAATCAGTACAATTTTTTTCAACAGGTACATGGCAGCTGTGGAGAATGAGTTGGAGGTGAGCCTGAGATACTGATTCTCTTTGTGTTCCTTGCAGCTGGAGCAGCCAGAACCCCCAGATCACTCACACCTAGCCAAGAAATTCAGGAAAAATAAAAATAAAAATCAGTGCCAACCCTCCAATACCATAAACTGATTTAACAAACATGTCTGATGTTCGCCTATGAACACACACACCCATCTAGTCATCTTGCAGCTAGGAGTTTACCCTTACTGAAGAATCAATACAAAGATTTATCTATAAGAGTGGTCAGGTAGTAGTGTTCGTTATAGAGAAAAACTGGAAACTCACTACCAAATAATGAATTGGTGAATTACCTCCACCTATCCATACTGTTGCATTGAGTATTCCATCAGCAATTAACAACATAAGCATTTCATTACATGTCCTAACACAAAGAGGCTAAAAAACACCAAGAATGAACCTGTTTTTAAAAAAGAATCAACACTAAACAATACACACATACAAATTATTTAGCCCACCGGAGGGGTATCCTCCAGCTCTCTATACTCTCCTCTACCACCCCACCCCAACTAGGTCCCAAAGAGCTACGTCTTACAACAGTCCCTTAACGTAGTTTTCCAGGAGGCTCAGTCATCCATTCCTAGAGAAGCCTCCTTAACTCACTTACCATTCTCTATTTACTGCCTTGAGAATTCTACTTCGATATATGGGATTGCTGTATTTCCTCAAACCTTAGTCAAAAAGGTAATCATGTCTTGGTATCATGAAATAATTTTGACCTTGTGGACCCTCTGAAAGGGCCTCAGGCATTACCAGGCCACACTCTTGAGAATCACTGATATCCATCCATTTTGGAAATACAGGTAGAAGAAGAGCCTGCCAACCGTAAGTGGCAAATAGAAAGTGATCAGGTTATAGAATTCAAGGTCAAAAGATCTGGATTTGAGCCCTAACTCCACTGTATACTTTTCTGGCTATCTGAACTAATTAAGACAGTAATTTAACTTCTTTTAAGAGTTTCAGTGTCTAGGTAAGGGTATGGTGGCTCACAGCTGTAATCTCAGCACTTTGGGAGGCTGAGGTGGGCAAATCATTTGAGTCCAGGAGTTTGAGACCAGCCTGGCAACACGATGAAACCCCGTCTCTACTAAAGATACAAAATAGTAGCCGGGTGTGGTGGCACATGCCTGTACTCCCAGCTACTCTGGATGCTGTGGTGGGAGGATTGCTTGAGCCTAGGAGGCAGAGGATGCAGTGAGGCGAGATTGTGCCACTGCACTCCAGCCTAGGCAACAGAGCAAAACCCTGTTTCAGAAAATTTAAAAATAAAAAAATAAAAGTTTCAATGTCTTTTTTTTTTTTTGAGCAGTCGTCTCGCTCTGTCACGTGAGCCACCACGCCTGGCCTCAATGTCTGCATTGTTAAAACAAGAATCATACTACTGGTCAGTCTCAACTGTCATTGGCTGTGAGAAACAACAATATACAAATAAAAGCACTTTGCAGACTATAAAAAGTTTAGGTCCGTGTTTTTTTTTGTTTTTCTGGGTTTTTTTTTTTGAGACAGAGTCTCACTCTGTCGCCCAGGCTGGAGTGTAGTGGCATGATCTCAGCTCACCACAAGCTCCACCTCCAGGGTTCACGCCATTCTCCTGCCTCAGCCTCCTGAGTACCTGGGACTACAGCCGCCCACCACCACGCCCGGCTAATTTTTTGTATTTTTAGTAGATACGGGTTTCACCATGTTAGCCAGGATGGTCTCAATCTCCTGACCTCACAATCCGCCCACCTCGGCCTCCCAAAGTGCTGGGATTACAGGCGTGTGAGCCACCGCGCCTGGCCAGGTCAGTTTTTATTTTTGGTTTTCCGGGGTCTGAATAGTACATCCTAAGATCGTATCTACAAAATTACATCAGTAGCTAACTTAATAGCAAAGTTACTTAAACAGCAGTTATCTTTAATTTCCTCATACATAAATCTGTCATGTGATTACCAATATTTAGTTTATCTTTACCAGTCTGCAGTTTTGCATATTTCAGATATGTGGAAGAATTAATGTAATTTTTCAGAAGTTCCTCAATTTCAAGGATTTAGCTGATAACAAGAAAAAAATAATAATAAAGCTCACTTCTACCTATACAAAAGAAAAACCACCTTACATGTTGGGGAGAAAAGGAATGACTTCCGTGATTAATGACCTATGTGGTATAATACCAAAGGCACTGTGTAGACATGACATCAATATTAATAGGCTAATTCTGGCTTCCAGCCAAACTGCTCCCAAAATGGGTGCATATTTACTCTGATAAAGTGTACCTGTCTCTT